CCGCCCCCCCTCCTTCCCGGCGTGCTCTTCGGCGCCCCGCCTTTCCCCGCCTTTGGCTGTGATTGGCCGCGCGCGCTGCCGGCCCCGCGCGCACTGCTGCCCTAATAAGGCGAGCGGCGCGCGCAGCCGTGCCCGCCCCTCATTGAGCCCCGCCCCGGGTGCGCGCGCGGATTGGCGGGCGCTGCCGGCAGCCCATTGGCCGCGGGGCGCGCAGCGCGCTCCCATTGGCTGGGAAGGGCCGCGGTCCCGCCTCCGCGGCGCCGTGGGCGCGGCGCGTGCGCGGAGCGGGCGGCAGTGGCGCGAGGCGATGGCGGCCGTGGGGACGATGGCGGCCATGGGCCCACTACCCACCATGGGCACGCTGCCCCCGCTGCCCACCCTCGGCGTGCCCGGCGTGCCCGAGCTGAAACCGCTCACGCGGTACGAGGCGATGCGGCTCGGCCCGGGCTGGAGCCACTCGTGCCACGCCATGCTGTACGCGCCCAACCCGGGCATGCTCTTCGGCCGCATCCCGCTGCGCTACGCCGTGCTGGTGAGGGGGTGTCGAGGCCGTGCTGGGCCGGGGACGGGGCTGGGAACAGGGCGGGTCCTCGGGCTGGGTCGGGACGCACTGGGCTGGGTTGGGCCGCGGGCTCCGGGGGCGGCGGGCTGAGGGGCGGTGGCTCCGCGGTAGTTCCCGTGCAGGCGGTAGTTATCAGGCTGGGCCCGAGCTCGGGGGGAAGCCCCCGSGCCCGCGGGTTTGTGCGGCCCGGGCGGAGAGCCCCGGCGGCCGGGGCCGCTGACGGTGAATGGTCCTGGATGCGCCGCAGCCGGTGGGGCCGCGCAGGAGCGRCCGCGACGCCTCCCGCGCTCCTCCGGCTCCTCCGGAGGCCTCCGTGACGCCCTCTCGCCCCCCGCCGGGGGCCGCGCCGTGCCCCATTAACACCCTGCGCCTCTATTGCAGATGCAGATGCGATTTGACGGACTGCTGGGCTTTCCCGGGGGGTTCGTGGATCGCCGTTACTGGTCCCTGGAGGACGGTCTGAATCGGGTGCTGGGCTTGGGTTTGGGCTGTGTGCGCCTGACGGAAGCAGACTATCTGTGCTCGCACCTGACAGAGGGGCCACATCGCGTGGTGGCACACTTCTACGCCAGGCAGCTCACCCTGGAGGAGCTGCACACCATCGAGATCAGCGCGGTGCATTCCCGAGACCACGGGATGGAGGTGGGACACCCGGGAGGGGTGTGCGAGCTCTCAGTTAGCCCGGGAAGGCACCGCTTCCCTCCTGGGTCTGCCGGGCTGCCCTRGCCAGCCCGGCCGGGGAATGCACCGCAGGTAGAGCTGCCGGCGGCAGGTGCCCGCACCGCCCGTGGCATCGGCGTTAGGAACTGTGCCCCGGGTTGTGCCGCGGGCTCCGGAGCATAGCGAGCTCGAGCTCCAGCCTTTCCCGGTGTCCACCCACGCAGGGACGAGCCCCGTGTTCCCACTCGGCCTCAGGATGCGGGCGAGGGCCGTTTGCAGCTGGGGGGAATCTCCCTCTGCCCTGGGCTGAGTGCCCCGGACTGGACCGTGACCTCGGTGTGGTGATGTTGCTGTGACCCGAGTTCCTCCCGTGCGGGAGGCACCTTCCTCCTCCCGGGCAGCCAAGTCTGGCTGGTGGCCGGGGCGAGAGCCAGGGCCTCCCCTTGCGCCCGCAGGGTGCTCGGTGGGCGTCGGCAGCCGTGTGAGCAGAGGCAGTGGGCTCTGGGTTATGGCCTGGTTGAGGGAAACTCGTGGGTCAGCCGTGGTGTCCCCACGCACAGCGGGGCTGGAGGGGGATGCGGGACTTCCCATAGTGGCCTGGGACAGCGGGATCCCCCCAAAGGGGCAGAAGGGGGAGCAGCGCCAGGGCTGGGCTGAGGAACTGGGCAGGGAGAGCAGGGACCTGGGGCAGTGTGGGAAGGGGCACAGTGGGCTGTGGGCAGGCAAGGGTAGGGGCTCGTGTGGGAGGGAGGGGCAGAACGTGGCACAGGGGCAAGATGGGCCTGGGCCGAGGGCTGGCGGGCACTGGGTGAGGGTGTGGGGCAGAGGGGGTGAGGGGTGGTGGGGGGTTGGTGCTGCTGTGGCCCCTGCTGAGCTGTGCCYGTGCCATTGCAGGTGATGGGCATGGTCCGTGTCCCCCTCTACACCCAGAAGGATCGCATGGGCGGGCTGCCCAACTTCTTGGCCAACTCCTTCGTCGGAACTGCCAAGTTCCAGCTCCTGTTTGCCCTGAAGATCCTGAACATGGTGCCGGAGGAGAAGCTGGCTGAGGCGGTGGCTGCCACGCAGAGGCCGAAGAAGACGGCCATCGACCACTCCGGAGGGGCAGCAGGACATCTGCATGGCCACAAGGCGGGCAACGAGCTGGCTAAAGCGGGCAACGAGCTGGGAGAGAGGGGAGAGCACCCGGGCATGGCGCATGGCGGGGCCGAGCTGGTGGGGCTGGAGGGCCAGGCCCTGGCGGAGCATCTGGCAGGGGCCGAGGCACTGGAGCATCAGGTGGGGCTGGGCGCTGATCTGGGGGAGCAGGGGGATGTGATGGAGTGACGCCACTGTGTTGGCACTCAATTAAAAGTGGGTGAGCTGAGAGACTTCTAACTTTTTGACCCGTGGCTGGCTGCAGTGGCTGCCCACGTGACCCCACTGCCCAGCTAGGAGGGGTTGGGTTTGTTTAAAGCAGGGAAAAGCGATTTTATTTTTATGGCCATTAAACTCTTAGCGAGCTTCCCAGATCAACCTGCACAGCCCCTGCAGAGAGTTCATGTGCTTACGTGAGGGCGCCGGAGCCTTAGAATTATGCTTTTATTTCAGGGACACACTCATGTCAGGTCCCTCTTTCATTTGTAAGGAACAAAACATTTAATTTTTAAAATGCCCCATCTTGACTTGGACGTGGCTGTGTTGGCCACTGGGCACAGCTGAGGCCTGGGGCTTGTGGTCAAGCACCTCTGCCCATGTCAGTAGCCAGGTTCCCACTCAGGGTGCTGGCACAATGGAGCAGCAGTGCCATGAATTCCCTCGGGGGCATTGGGGATGTTCCTGTGGGTCCCTACCTGGAGATCTGTGGAAGCAGGAAAGTGTAATAAATGGCTTTGCTGAAAGTTTAGCACTTAGGATTGTTCTTGAGGGCTGGTGCAGAGTCTGGGGTGACCCAGAGCTGCGGGAGGTGCAGGGTGGGGGGAGCACAGGGGCCGGAGGTGAAGGGCTGGGGCTGGTAGACATTGGGGTAGGTGAGGTATGGGCTGGSTCAGGTCTGCACCATTGCAGCTCTCGGGGTTTGTGTTACTCCGGAATGGCTTGTGCACCCCAGGGCTCCAAGCAGGGGCTGGGAGTGGCTTGTTGCAGGTGCAGGAGCATCTCCGGGGCACTGGCAGTGCCTGAGGGCCTTGGTCCTGACTGAAAGGGGGGCAGCCAGCCAGGAGCCCAGCGCTGCAACTGCACAAGACCCCACTCCATTTTAGCTGAGCCTTAGGAAAATCCTCCTCCCATCCTGCAGTCCTGCTGGAATGGCAGGCTCAGCCCTGGAGCAGCTGCTTCCCCTTCCCTGTCCCCCTCTTTCCCTGCTCCAAGCTCATGCCCGGCTTGGAGCAGCAGCAGCTTCCCCTGGRGAGCAGGGCCTTGTGGTGACCCCACGTAGAGCTGGTCAGAGGCAGGTTCTCTGCAGGGACAGACAACTCAGAAAAGAGGTTTGGTTTAATTGAAGTTGAATGAGAGGTTCTTCAATAAATAACGGGCTGAGGTGGGGATGGGGCTGATGCCTCAGGAGACGGTGGCAGGGGGGGACACAGACCAGTCACAGCTTCCTTTGGGATGTGCTCCAGTAACGGAGCTGGGTTGTGGAAGGGGCAGGAGAGAAACTGGGGACACATACACACATCAGTCCCAGGCAATCAGAAGGGAGGAGCTTCATTCTGGTCTAGAGAAAGCAAGTGCTGAGGAAAACCAGGGGCTTGGGCTGCTAAAGAAACCCAACAACAGATGTGTTAAGTAAAAAGTGGRTAAGTAAAAATACCCAAAACTAAAAAGTAACAGCTGAGGCTGGAAGGGTGTCAGGGGGGCCCTGGGGAAGCACTGGGGCTGGGGGAGGAGCTGTCTGCCCAGTGCCACTGGGACTGCTGGAGGGGAGCCAGAGCCATATGGGATGGAAGAGGCCCACTCCGAGGGCAGCCCTAGCATCTTGGGGCTTGARGGTCTCAAAGGCTGGGCTTTCCAACAGTGCCCTGTTTGACTCCTCATAAACACCTCTTAACCTTGTCTTTGAGCTCCAGAAGAACCAGCACCTCCCAGAACAGCCTTGTGCTGCTCTCAGAACTGAACGTGGCAGCTTCCTGCTCTCCAGCCTGGCCACARTCACAGCAGCTCATCTGCACCTTTTTAGTAATGAACTCCCACCCAGGGGCTGAGACATTGACAGGGCTTTCTGTGGCCATCCAGGCTGCAAGGTTATGATGTGCTTGTTGGCCCAGCCTGAGCCATGTGTCACCCCCAGGTTCTGCCCACCCCGTGCCAGAGCTGTCAGTGCCAGCACATGCAGGGCCTGCACCAGCTCTGCCTTGGAGCCCTCTGCTCCAGTCCCAGTTAAAAAGAGGGGAAGAGCCTTGGCCAGGGAGGGGGGATTTGCCATGGGAATCTTGCAGGGCCACCCCTGGCCTGACTGGAGCTCTGGGGCCTCCACACAGGCTGGACAGACTGCTCAGTGCAGCCAGAGGGTCCTACAGCCAGGACATGCTGAACAGCCACTGAGACACTGCCCARCGCAGCCCAGAGGTGTCCAGAGCACAGCCCACAGCCCAACAGTGAGCAGCTGGGGGATCCTCCTCAGCAAGGGAAAGCTGTTGTGATCGGTGCACACATCCCATCCCTCAAGCTGCAAAGTCCAGCCTGGTGCCAAGGAAGGGGGAGAAGGGCTCTGAACCAGACTCTACACCCCCAGCTCCCCTCCCCTGCTACATTCAAACTTGGACAAAGGCAGGAAGATCTATACAGTATAATACATATATATTTCACTATGAAATAGCAATTTCATTCCCTGCCTTCTACTTTATGCATCCTGAATTATATGCTCCTTTTTGCATCACTCCAGAGGGCTGATGGGGCTGGGTAGTTTCTCATGCGAGGCAGTTGCTCTCCTTGGAAGTTACCCACAGGACACACCAGCAGCTTATGTGGCAGGACCTAAACATGATTCCCATTCCCCCCTTTTCCCTCACCCRGCTCCCCCCTTCCCCAGCCACAAAGGCAGACTCTGCCCTGCCAGCCAGGACTCTCCTGGCTCATGTCAGTGGTTCCTCAGTGCAGATCCATGAACCTCCCTCAGCTGCTCTCAGCAGCCGTGGATGGAGCGGGAGCAGCAGCTGAACCCCTCGACACCGCGGGTATAGGGAGGAGCAAACCGGAGGCGAGGGGGTGGTGGGGACAGTGCAACATGCACACGGAGTGGTGACACCGGGACCCGCGGCTGCGGCACAGCCGGGCCTGCCCAGCCCACRCGGGAGCCGGGGCTGCAGCCCCAGGGTGAAGTTCTACCAAAGGTCAGTCCCTGTGAAACGGGGAGTCCCATCCGGGGCTGGGTCACCGGCCAAGAGCTGTCATCACTGGAACCAGTGCAGAGCCAGAAGTCAGGTGGAAGGAGGATCAATCCTATGGAAGGAAAACAGGGCAGATGCTTTAGGGAAACACTTARTGAAAGTGTGCTGAGGAGCCACTGTCCTGGCACTGTCAGAAACATGCAATGGCACTGGCAGTTACTCTGAGGGCTCAGGCACTGTGAATCCTGCACACTGCTCCAGCAGCTGGAAAAAGGAGAGGACTTGGACAGCAGGTTGCACCTGCTGTTAGACTCTGGGCTCAAGTAAACAAGGTCAGAGTCTGATTTCCCTTCAAATGAAAGCAGCAGGATTTCAGCTCCACAGCAGCAGGATGAGTTCCCTCCGGAATGCCCAGGCCAGCAGCAGGGCAGGGAAGGGAGCTGTCCACAGTACCSACCTGTGCTTCCTGTGCACCCCCAGGCAGTCACATCGTCCGGCTGTACTCGATGCCGCTCTTGGCAGAAATGCCAGACCAGGGCAGGAGGCTGCAGAGGAGGCTCTGGGCTTGTCTGTATATCCTCTGGGGAATGGAGCACGGGCTCAGGCTGGCTAGGGTAGAGCCAATGTGCTGTAGGTAGTCAGTGGCCACCAGTTAAGGACAGCAACGCTCACGCTGTAACTTTACAAAGAACCTCAATGACTCCTGGACTCCCCCTGCCTGMAGAGCCCCCACAGCACAGTGGAAGCTGCTCAGCTCAGTCAGATCTGATCCTTGCAGTCATTGCCTCCATCCCTCTATCAAAAGCAAGTCTGCTCTGCCTTGTAAAGGCAATTTGGGAATGCCAGCTCCAGCTTGTGTGGGAAATACCTCCTCTAAGCAGCTGCCAGTTCCCTTTGCACTCCACAGAAGATCCTGTGAGGATGGCAATCCATCCACCTGCCTGGGGACATTGGGACCGACCAGCTACACCCAGGAAGGATCAGGTTTCTTCTCCATGATCCGTTTACCTGCACAAGCTCCCTACGTCAGTGTGGGAGCAGCCTGCTGAGATCCAGGCCAGGCCAGGCTCACAGGGGATCCCACGTCATAGGAAACAAGACCAAGGGTTTCCCGTTTGTGGTCAAATCCTGCATCCTACAAGCAAAGCACACCCAACATTTGTCCTCGCTCTCACTGGCATCCATCTTGCTCCAACCATCCTACACTGGCTCCCTGAAGTGTTCCCAGATGAGTCAGGGGAACCTGGGGACACTGAACACTGTCAAATCCCTCTAACATCACCTTCCTTCTGTCTCCAAATTAAACCCACATGTGAGCAGGTTTCCATCCCCACACCTACCCACACTCTRCTGGGTCGCTGTTGATAACCCAACACAGGGTTTGGCCTCTGCTCAGCAGCCTGCAGGGAAAGGATATAAGATTGTCCAGGGTGGGTGCCCGCCATTGATGTACAGGACATAGGTGAAGCCATCCTTGAGGACCCCTCGGATGGAATAGTAATAGGGGAGATAGTGGTGCTGTTTAAAGTCTCTGTTTTCATAGAAGTTTATTGCTGTGTTGTTGGTGGTGAGCACGTGCAGGTAGATGGCTTTGCAGTGGTCCTGGGCAGTGGTGGAGATGTGGTCTTTCAGACTCTCAAGCAAGAGGGAACCTGTTGAAGGGAAAGCAGCAGGATCACAGTGTGCAGCATGAGGGTTTGTTTGAGCTGAGCCCTCCTGTACCAGTGTCTGTCTAAGCAGGGATTGCTGCACACACCTGGACACCCCAAATCCCACCCATTTCTCACAGGACTAGCTACACAGTTTTAATATGAATCTCACCTCACCTATGAGCGCAGCTCCAAAACCCAGAGATTTTAAAGACACAAACCTCTGATTCAAAACCCATAAGGATGAGCTATAACCCTGACAATTTTGCCCATCCCCAGCAGAGCAGCTCCTGGCTTTGGGGAAGGTCAGTGACTCATTTTCAGTGGTATCAGTTCCACCCCATACATTTATTTATTTGAAAACCATTTGAAACAGCAGAGTATCGAAACAGGACGTCACAARCAGATTACTGTATTGTGTCTGCTGAACTTGAATTAAAACCTAAGAACTGGTCGGATTTTAAGAGGACACTCCGCCTTCTAAGGAGGAGAGTGGAGAGACAGTCTCATCCAACCTGGATTTGCTGCAGCCAGCAGGAAAAAACAGAGGACAGAGAGGATACTCCAGTCCCAAGAGATAAGACCTGGGGGTTCATCCACACCACCTCAACGTGGCATGAAGGAGCCAGCAGAACCTGCATGGGAGCTTCTTGCAGCAGGTGTGGCTAAAGAATCAGCCTGACTACCACACACAGGGGAGATGGCTGCTGCTGTTTCACAATCCCCTGGGCCTGTAGGACTTCCAGCAGGGCCCACAGGATTTCAGAGCAGAAGTCAACAGCAGCACTGACTTCACAGTCACTCRACACTTAGTGAGAATTTGTATCAGCCAAGCACCAAAAACCACTGAGACATCGACAATAGAGCAGTTCAATTTTGTTATGAGATATTCCAGTCTTCTGCCTCACAGAAATCCAGCTGTCCTGTGGTTTAAGAACAGCAGAGAACTAGAAACCAAACCCTTTTACAAAAATCAGAGAAAAATCAGAGCTTTAGTGCTCAGAAGCATGGCTGGAGGGAAGAACCTCCTGCTTGAAAGGCTCCAGCTTCAAACACCAGTAGAAAAATTCAAGAGAAAAATCTCAGAAAAAGCAGCAGCAGCTTTTTTTAGGCTGCGTTGCTAAAGGTGCAAGTTCAAAGTTTTTGAGAAAGCACAGCAACATGCTGTGCAGATGGAATGGATACAGGAAATACAGATTCTGAAAGGAGAAAATTCCAGCAAGATGAAACTGGAGAAAAAAATTAGGATTTGGAAATCAAGAGGAGACTGAAAACTACCACAGTTTTACAGAAGAAAATCTTTATCACCTTCTCTGAACATTGTTCATTACTACTATTGTCTTCTTTGTACAGAAAATTTCTCTTCAGCGGCATTTTAAATGTTTAAACACTACTCTCCCCAAGGACTCTGTGGTTATTTCTTTCTGTATTCTATCCATTTGTACCTTTCCWAACAAGCCTGGGATGAAGGGAGGACTTGGAGGTGCTGAGTTAAACCCGGGTCCACTGAAGAGACTCCAGGTGTGCACCCTTGGGTGCCACTGCCTAACCTGGCCCATCCCCTCTGCAGAATCAGGATCCAGATCCTGCCTGAAATGGCACCAGAAGGGCAGCACCTGGTAACAAACAAAACTGCTTCAAACAGGGAGAAAGCCTTTTTGACTCCAGGATTCCAAATRGCTGCAGGAATGCTGCATGTGACAGCAGACATTCAGAGCTGACTTGTACATTCATTTGAGATCTAATCTGGCCCAAGTTCACTWTTTTCAGTTCTCTTTCTCATTTTCTCAYTGTTTGTTATCTCTGTTGAAGATGAAAAGTGAAAAGCAGCTCTGTTTTCTGTCTTAGACTGYTAATACTCAGAAAGAAAATARTTTCAAATCCTGCWCCTGGGCAAAGTTCTCACACTTCCAGTCAGTCTTAGCAGCAGTAGTGTGATCAATTGGCTCCTGGGAACAAGATGGACAAAGGCTTGTGCTCTTTGGAAATATTTGCATGTTGTGTTGTGCCCACATCAGTAAAAACCTCTCAGTACACGTGCACTAACACCAGGAAGGGGATGTGGGTGAGGCACCTCCCCACCTGCTGGTACCAGCCATGGGTTAAGTCTTTCTCACAGGGACACTGCAGGGAGATGCTGGGGCTCCTTCAGTCACACCCACTGGCCACAGCCAGCAAACAACAGCAACACCTGGCACTTGGCAGYATCTTACCTATTCCATGTTTTCTGAACTCCTTCACCACTCCAAGACTTAGGATGTAAGCAACTTGTGTGTCCACAGGAAAATTGGAAGCTAAGATATCTCCATCCTGAGTAGAGATACGATAGGTTATTTAGTAGGGTACCTGGGGARGCATAGGAGAAATCAAAAATCCTGTACTGGAACACCCAAAACCAAGGCTAAAGCAGGAAACTTCGCTTCATTGAACAGTCATTGCTGAAGCTTTTGGAATGGMAGTTAAAAAATCCAAGCATGGGGCTATTCCTATTTTCACATCATCCTCCCAGAGGCAGAACACAAACCATGATATTTTGTGACTACATACATTATTTGCAGGTTTAGGGACAGAACATGCTTTCTTTACCAGAAGGATTCAAAGTGTCAGTTCTGAATTCACCCAACAGTGTTTAATCAACCCAGCGAGTCCTTCTGGCCTGCAATCTGCACCTGAGCTGTGTCAGCTGGAGATCTCGGCACTCCTGGGGAGGACAAGGAGCATGTTCCACAAGSCCAACTGCCCACAGCAGTGCTTGAATAAGCCCTAGGCTTTCAGCTTGGCTGGAACCAGAGCTGGAGTTGCTGAAAATGCAGCTTCTGACTTTGATGAGCTTTAAGGTGAAGCCAGATAGCTGAAGTGAAGAGAACCATGTGCTACTCTGTGCTCTTGGCTCCTGWGAATGTTGGGATTATTGTTTAACCACAACACTGAGGGCCTTCCAGGAGTTAGGCACTCCCTGCACTGCCCCTGCTTTTTGTTTAGCACTYTTCTCCCACCTGACCATCTCCTCTTCTCTGCTGCACTGGATTTTCTCTCCTGCCCTCCAAGCTCTCTGCACACAGGTYACCTCCCCTCTGGGCTTGGGACAGGGACTGTGTAAAGGCAGGGGTTTCTGCACAGTCTCACCCAGCAGAGCTAAGGAAACTCTTAAGTAAGAAAGGAAGAGCATCATTCTCCCACAGCTCTACCAGCCCAGTGACCAGCCATAGCCAGGCAACACTGAAATGCCTGCTGCACAGGCACTTTGGGATTGGCCTGCAGGATCTAATCTCTCACTTTGCCATGGGACCATGCCCCAGCAGGAAGAATCCCTGTGGTACCACACAGCCCCCCACCACTGCTCCATTAGCTGGAAATCTGCATGTGCTTCATTCCTTACATCAACACAGGATCAAGTGTCTGAATAGAGGAGGGGAAAACCCCACTCCAAACAGATCCCATCCCCACTACCCACAGGGAAGGTGGATTCTGTCCTGCTGAAGCCCAGGGTAGTCACGTACCTCTTTGTGCACCTTTGTCCTGCTCTTGATCTCTGCCACTATCATCCCCACGATGGAGCCTCTATATGTGGCTGCGAGGGAAAAGAACTTCTTGTTGGAGGTGATATCTCGGTACCATGAGTCAGGGTACCTGGGAAGGAACCACAAACAGGAATGTCTTTTTTCTCATGCAAAGTCCACAGGAACAGGCATGACATGCTCCTCAACTGGAAACAGCTGTTGCATCCCATTTGGTACCATGGGTTCTTTCATCATGTAATGGCCTTCTGCCTTGCTAAGTGAACCACATTTTCATTTTACAGTCTTTGCCCAGAGCTTTCACTTCCATCTTTAGCAAGCTATTTTTAAATGCAAGATCCATCTGCCCTCATCTAAGAGCAAAAGGATCTCATTAATTTGGTACACATGTAAAAAAATACTGCATTTTGGTAGGAAAAAGAAAAATCACACCACCACCTCCAGTTCTCCTCCTCCTTCTGCAGCTACTAAAGGGAAACTACTGTATGTTCATTTATTTCCAGATGAGAGTTCAGCATGTCTTGCCTTAAAAAAGAAATCTACAGACTCAAAATATTATGAATGCTTTTGCTGATTTGTTACATYTTATTGAATCTTAATTATAATCTGCTAAAATCCTCTATAAACTCTTTTTACAAAGCTAAAAATCCTTGAAGTCTACAGCTGTGGYTTCCCTGGATGCTTTAGGCCAGAAATCTGTCAGTGTTTCCCAGTAAAGCTCCTCATTCCTGTGCTTGTTCAGTCAAGGGCTTTGCCAAACGTGGGTCTCAAGAGCTGTCCTGGGACAGGCTGAGATCAGCTGTAAGCCACAGTATGGGAGCATCAGTGATCCCAAGGGAAGTACTGCTCAGTTCCCCATGGACATTCAGAACAATTCCGCAGGAACAGCTCTGTGCCAGTTTGATTCAGATCTGAAGGTGCTTTCCTGACACACAGCCCAGGACACAACTTCCTTTCACAAGCATAGGGATGCTGTCCTCTTTCCTGGAGATGTCCTCCTTTCCCCATCTCATTCATTCTTTCTCAAGAAGCTGATCCACCCTTTTAATTACAAAGCCCATTTTCCTGCCAAAATCTCCATGGAGGAACTTTCTGCTGACTTCAGAACCCTGCAGGACAGGCAGCAAAGGGCCTTTGACAGCAACACCACCACAGTGCACAGAAGRTTCCCAAACTGCTGCTGTCCTGCAGCCCTGAGGCTGCACAGACCTGGGTCAGGGCAGGTTCACATCGTTTTTTCCAAGGTCCCCACGTGCCACCCCAAACCAGTGACGTACTCTATTGGGAACCAGTCTCCACAGAGCTGTTTCACTGTGTCTATGTCATCGTGGCACAGCAGGCGCAGGTTCACGTCCGTCAGTGCAGTCGGGGGCACCTCCTCTGTCATTCACGCCTGCAAGGGAAGGAAGCACGTGAGGAATGATGGAACACAGGGGCTGATCCAACGGCACCGGGTGGGGCTTGGTATGGATAAAGCTGCTTTTSCCAGCAAAGTGAGTTTTCAGGAGAGATGAAGTAAAACATGGCAATGTTAACCTGAGAAGGAACTCAGAGTCGTGCTGCCCACAAGGTAAGCCCAGCTCACAGCTCAGCCTGACCCAGCCTTCCAGCCCCAAATCCGTACACATCCTGATCCCTGGAAGCGCAGTCTGGTGACTCTGCATGGAAGGAGCACGTGGCCACAAGCCCTTCCAAAAAGAGCATGAAACAAGCCAACAATGTGCCAAGTGTACCTTATGTTGCATGGAGCTCTTCAAATGTCCATGCAGGACCAAAATTTGTTAAAACAAAGCTGAACAAACAGCTTAAAAAGGAAGCACTGCTAGAGGAACGTTTAGAAAGTCCTCTTGCACAATCCTCATCTCCAGTSAGTACATATGCAGTACATATACATATGAGTACATATCCAACTCTTTTAAATGTTCATTTTGTTTAACCTATGCTGCTGAAATGAGATCTAGTTTCACTTCCCCTCATTCCTGTGTGCCACAGCTCCTCCCAGCCCGGCACAGAGCGCTCAGCTACAGAAACCCCAGGACACCTTTTTTCCACAKCACTACCACAATCTGCTAAGCACAAACAGGACACTTGCTGCAATGTCTTCAGCATTTTTTAACAAGTACCAGAGGGAAAGAAGCAAGTGATAGACAAAGTAGCTGTAAAAGCATTGGTAGCACTGATGGATGACTGGAGGTTTTCACCAGGACAAAACCCTGCAGGCATACAGAGACAGGATTCAGTTCCTTCATCTCTCTCACTTCAACCCTCCCAGGTAAATGAACCAGACCAGGATGCAAATTAAAAAAAACAAAGCCACCACCCTTAACAAAAACAAATTACTTGAAGTTTTTATTTTCTTTTTCCAACTTTAAGAGCCTCAAGTCTCGGTTTCAAAAGGCTGAGTTATAAGGGAAAAGCTGCACAGAGCAGTGTTTGTCTATGCCCTCCRTGAAAAGTGATGCTGAGCTCTCTAGTGCTCCTGATCTAAAGCTCAGAGCTTGAGAAGGAACAGATTTAAACACACTCCCCACTGGACTGCCATTTGAGCATCTTCAGCACAAAAATTGTACCCGGTAAAGTTACAATGGCCACTTTGGGTTTTTAAGTTGCCAAATTTACAATTATTTAGCAAAGTTACTAAATTTACTTGGACAAGCTCTCAGGCACATGGTGGGATTCTGTCCTTCGCAGGGCCAGGAGTTAGATTCAATGACCCTGATGTATCCCTTCCCTTCAGCATATTCCCTGATTCTACTTTTCTACTTTGTCAGTTACGGTCACTCTGTACTGAAATGGATCATTTTTTCATCTCCAAAGAATTCTTTAAAAAGCATCACAGCTATTTCACAGCCTGTTGTAGGACTGTTGCTCACTGCTGCATGTTTACTGAGCAGCCCACAGCACTCACAATCAGTCCAGATGCCAGTTTCAAAACAAGCACCTACAAAACCCGCACTGCTCGCTGCCTTTAAAACTCATTCTACGCTCCCAGAATTGGCTCAAGCCCTCAGAGGCCAGACTTGGAATCTGTATCCTATCACAGCAGTGCAAATGCTCCCCACCCCCAGCCTCTGGTGACCTTTTAAGAAGCCTCAGCTTCACCCCGTGGGACCCTGAAGGACGGRCAAACATTTGCTGGCTGGGGCTCATCTGATCCACTCCACGGATGTTTGATGATGTGGACCCCAGTCTCACCCCCCACCCTTGCTGAGCCCTTTGCTGATCCACTTCAGAGCYGTGACACACCACAAGATCATTTTTCTTGCAAAGTTTCAATGCTCATGTAAGGCAACACCCCTTCTCAGCATTAATAAATCAGAGAGAAATGAAACCACCATGCCAGAGCCATGGTTTTGCTAATCAGTAGAAAAGGCAGAGCCTAGGAGAAGGGTTATCCAGCAGCTGCTGCCAGAGAGGCAGAGCTAGTCCAGGACACATTCCTGTGAGGATTAGTCCATGTGTATTTAACACCATATTCCCAAAGAGCTGGGCCAGCATTACTCATTATTCTGTAGCCGAAGCCAGCCTCAAAAAAGCAATCCATGACTGTTTTGTCGAACAGGATAATCCCCCTCGCCTCAAATTCAGACACCCAGGGCTGGTTGTGTTTGCAGGGACTCCCTCCATTACATGACCCAATCCAGGTGCTCGAGCACATTTAAAGGACATTTGGGACACCTGTCTGGCACCTTGTTCTGCCACAGGGGTTTAGGAGAGCAGACCTGTGCCCCTTCCTCCCTGGCCAGGTGTTGCTGCTGCTGGAGGAGCTGTGCTAAGTGGCTGCTATGACCAAGAGAGAAGAAATTCCAGGCAAGTCAATTCCCTTCACACCCAGGTGACAGCCTCTGGCTCKCCAGGGATACCTGGAAAAACACCCAAGAGCAAGTCCTTGCCACACGCTGTGCCCAGGGCCATGTCTTTAGCATAGCCAAAGTCCCGAACTCAAGTCTCGGCCAGCACACTGACCTGAGTACCACTTTTAGAGTCAACTTAGAGGACAAAATACAAGTCTGGAAGCATAGAATTTAAAAAAAAAAAAATTCCAAAACAGTATCATTGTAAAACACAACCGTGGGACTTGATGGAAGTTAAAAGGGTTTTTAGGGGTTTAGGTAGCGACACGAACAACACAAGTTCTGACCTTTGAGACCAAGTGGTGGCTGCTGTGAAGCCAAATGCAGGCTCCAGGGATATGTGATTAACTCAMRGATGGCCACAGCCATTTTGGAAAAGTCAAAGTGAAGTTATTTTATTTCTTTCAATATCTTTTTCTCAGGTGTCAGCCTTYGGTTCACACGATGGCCACAGTCTGGGAGGTGACATGGCCAACATCACCCACTCCCTCCCCTCCCAGGGGACACAGTGACCTCACCCTTCTGTCAAAACAGGAAACACTTGCTCAGGAGGATTAGAAAATGAGCCAACATTTCATATTTTATTTAACATTTCATGTTTATGAAAGGATAGTGCAATAAACATTTGAAAAAGGTCTGAGGACATCCTTTTACAAAATACTGCAGTCAGGAGAAAGTAGAACTAGAAAATRATCATTTAATTCCCTTTCTTACCTAAAACCTGCAGATATTAATGCATAACAAATTCATTTCAAAAATACAGGAAAGCATAAAGGTTTCAAGCATTTCTACTAGTCTTCTGCCTKGCTCTGTTTAAACAAATCAAGCAAAATGTTTTGGTCTCAGGTGTATTGGGTAGCTCAGAGGAAACTGTCAAATTCTTATGACAAATATTTAGCAGTAATGGAAGTTGGATGAAAAGAAATAGTAAATGCACTACTAATAATCTAACTTGACAAATAATTTTAAATTAAAGCACATTGTGAGGCCTGAACTTACTGTTYTGAAATAATATCGTAAATCTTTGGCATCAATAAGCTCTAGCTATAATGAGCTAAAGAACAAAATTTCACAGGCAGCAAAGCCTTTGGCTCCAGCATCAGCCCAAGCCATGGCTGGGCCTCCAGGAACCATCCCTGTTTGCTCAGCACAACRGAGCCAAGTGCAGGCACTGACATTTCCACCACCAGCTCTTCMAAGTCCTAGCCAGCAGTTCAAGCTAGAGCCAGGTGCAGGGACAGTTTATTTACATGAACCAGATGCTTCACAGCTAAGAGACCTCAGCTCAAGCTTTTCTCGAGAGCAGGAAGCTTTTCTGTCCTTCTTAGAGTTCTCATRTTTTTTWWAAAAATCATAATAAAAKCTACATAAGATCACATTTCTAGAGAGACAGGGAGACACACAGAAGCAGCACACTTAATCCAGCAGTATTCAAATGGAGGATAAAGCCTGATGCTTTGTCAGGCAGCTGCTTAAACGTGTTTGAAAACTGCTTGAGCACTTCCATATCTACAAAAGCCTGCCCCAGGGATTTTACAAGTTGAGATTTCCCTTGTTTAGTACTGTTAGACAYGTTTTAATAATGTTTCTGCCTTGTGCATCCTGCAAAAATGAGTTGAATTTCAGTGAACAAGATATGGGTTTAATAATTTTTATTTCAATGTCAGCTTCCRTACAGATAAACTCAAGAAACTCCCAAATAAAAATTTTATCATCTAGCAACAAATATCACTGAATTTCTTGGCAGAATAAAAGCCAGGTAAGCTAAGACTAAAGTCAAATGAATAGTAACTAGGATTGTTTACAACTATAACTCCACTTAGTAAGGGATGTATTGACTTCAAATTTAGTGTCCACACAAAACACAATGTGAAGGAATCTTCCTCACTTTCAGAAACAAAGCTGGATCRAAGTTCATCAATACCTTTTAGTTTATTTAAAGGCTAATTGAAATAATTTCATCCTGAACAGAAAGCAGCAGAGCTGCAGGGAAGAATAAAGAGAAGCCCTGGCAGACAGTGGGTGTTTATAAATCGATCCCAAAATTCAGGCAGCGTTGTCCCTACAGACACACACACAGCCAGCCCGGTATCCTGGCACCTCCGGCATTAAACACTGAGGATCCTCATCCACTCAGGATGACGATTTTCACCTCAGGAATTCAAAGCATTCACTTCGAGCACACTTCTGCTGGATTATTAAGGATTATCTGCTGTCGTTCCACAGAAGGAAAAGATTAAGTTCCTGCAGATGACTCCCAAGGACACACCACGAAGGGGCAGCTCCACAGGAATGGCAGTGACACCAAACAACCCATGGGGAGCATCCGGGCTGGCCCTGTCCTGTCAGCTCCTGCCCAGCACTGCCGGACATGRCACAGTGGCTCTGTTTCACTTGACACACACTCTCTGAAAGATGTGCATGCAGGGACAGAGATGGATTTTTTTAATGCCTGGTATCCTCACCAGAGGTGCTGCTCCAGTGCCACCACCAAATTCCTTTTTTGCGACTCCTGCGTGGACACTCCTCAGATCCCATC